GGGGTCGCAGCGGCCTTCCTTGTGTCTTGATACGGATTGACCGCGGCGTGGTACACAAAAGGATTGTTTAAGTCGAGGATATACCATATTTAGTAAGCCAGGACGGGTCTGAAGTGGTCCAAGTCTGACCTTGACAAAAGCTTGAGAAGCTTACACGGCACGCCACTGTCTCGCGAATCCGTGGCTACGCCTTAGCCCGAGCCACAACGTCGTGACCGCAGCGAAGAAAACGGTAGTAGTTGGTCATGGTTGGTCATCGCTGGTGGTGTGAGTGCTGATGGTGGTAGGCACTGGAAGGTAAGAGGCGATAGTAAAGAGAGCGGTGTTGTCTGTGAATGTGGTGATGCGTGTGTATCGCTGGTTGGTTTGTGTGTAGGGCGTTTGTGAAATTGTAAGCGCGTTTGTCTGTTTGGAGTGGCCTCGTGGTCTAGTGGTATGATTCTCGCTTCGGGTGCGAGAGGTCCCGGGTTCGATTCCCGGTGAGGCCCCGTCTTTGCTCAGCTATCTAGCCTCCGCGACAGCTTTTTGCACCTCCCTTTTCCGCGTTGAGGAACCTTTCCTGGCTTTCGGCTGGGGTCGCAGCGGCCTTCCTTGTGTCTTGATACGGATTGACCGCGGCGTGGTACACAAAAGGATTGTTTAAGTCGAGGATATACCATATTTAGTAAGCCAGGACGGGTCTGAAGTGGTCCAAGTCTGACCTTGACAAAAGCTTGAGAAGTTTACACGGCACGCCACTGTCTCGCGAATCCGTGGCTACGCCTTAGCCTGAGCCACAACGTCGTGACCGCAGCGAAGAAAACGGTAGTAGTTGGTCATGGTTGGTCATCGCTGGTGGTGTGAGTGCTGATGGTGGTAGGCACTGGAAGGTAAGAGGCGATAGTAAAGAGAGCGGTGTTGTCTGTGAATGTGGTGATGCGTGTGTATCGCTGGTTGGTTTGTGTGTAGGGCGTTTGTGAAATTGTAAGCGTCTTTGTCTGTTTGGAGTGGCCTCGTGGTCTAGTGGTATGATTCTCGCTTCGGGTGCGAGAGGTCCCGGGTTCGATTCCCGGTGAGGCCCCGTCTTTGCTCAGCTATCTAGCCTCCGCGACAGCTTTTTGCACCTCCCTTTTCCGCGTTGAGGAACCTTTCCTGGCTTTCGGCTGGGGTCGCAGCGGCCTTCCTTGTGTCTTGATACGGATTGACCGCGGCGTGGTACACAAAAGGATTGTTTAAGTCGAGGATATACCATATTTAGTAAGCCAGGACGGGTCTGAAGTGGTCCACGTCTGACCTTGACAAAAGCTTGAGAAGTTTACACGGCACGCCACTGTCTCGCGAATCCGTGGCTACGCCTTAGCCCGAGCCACAACGTCGTGACCGCAGCGAAGAAAACGGTAGTAGTTGGTCATGGTTGGTCATCGCTGGTGGTGTGAGTGCTGATGGTGGTAGGCACTGGAAGGTAAGAGGCGATAGTAAAGAGAGCGGTGTTGTCTGTGAATGTGGTGATGCGTGTGTATCGCTGGTTGGTTTGTGTGTAGGGCGTTTGTGAAATTGTAAGCGCGTTTGTCTGTTTGGAGTGGCCTCGTGGTCTAGTGGTATGATTCTCGCTTCGGGTGCGAGAGGTCCCGGGTTCGATTCCCGGTGAGGCCCCGTCTTTGCTCAGCTATCTAGCCTCCGCGACAGCTTTTTGCACCTCCCTTTTCCGCACTGAGGAACCTTTCCTGGCTTTCGGCTGGGGTCGCAGCGGCCTTCCTTGTGTCTTGATACGGATTGACCGCGGCGTGGTACACAAAAGGATTGTTTAAGTCGAGGATATACCATATTTAGTAAGCCAGGACGGGTCTGAAGTGGTCCAAGTCTGACCTTGACAAAAGCTTGGGAAGTTTACACGGCACGCCACTGTCTCGCGAATCCGTGGCTACGCCTTAGCCTGAGCCACAACGTCGTGACCGCAGCGAAGAAAACGGTAGTAGTTGGTCATGGTTGGTCATCGCTGGTGGTGTGAGTGCTGATGGTGGTAGGCACTGGAAGGTAAGAGGCGATAGTAAAGAGAGCGGTGTTGTCTGTGAATGTGGTGATGCGTGTGTATCGCTGGTTGGTTTGTGTGTAGGGCGTTTGTGAAATTGTAAGCGCGTTTGTCTGTTTGGAGTGGCCTCGTGGTCTAGTGGTATGATTCTCGCTTCGGGTGCGAGAGGTCCCGGGTTCGATTCCCGGTGAGGCCCCGTCTTTGCTCAGCTATCTAGCCTCCGCGACAGCTTTTTGCACCTCCCTTTTCCGCGTTGAGGAACCTTTCCTGGCTTTCGGCTGGGGTCGCAGCGACCTTTCTTGTGTCCTGATACGGATTGACCGCGGCATGGTACACAAAAGGATTGTTTAAGTCGAGGATATACCATATTTAGTAAGCCAGGACGGGTCTGAAGTGGTCCAAGTCTGACCTTGACAAAAGCTTGAGAAGTTTACACGGCACGCCACTGTCTCGCGAATCCGTGGCTACGCCTTAGCCCGAGCCACAACGTCGTGACCGCAGCGAAGAAGACGGTAGTAGTTTGTCATGGTTGGTCATCGCTGGTGGTGTGAGTGCTGATGGTGGTAGGCACTGGAAGGTAAGAGGCGATAGTAAAGAGAGCGGTGTTGTCTGTGAATGTGGTGATGCGTGTGTATCGCTGGTTGGTTTGTGTGTAGGGCATTTGTGAAATTGTAAGCGCGTTTGTCTGTTTGGAGTGGCCTCGTGGTCTAGTGGTATGATTCTCGCTTCGGGTGCGAGAGGTCCCGGGTTCGATTCCCGGTGAGGCCCCGTCTTTGCTCAGCTATCTAGCCTCCGCGACAGCTTTTTGCACCTCCCTTTTCCGCGTTGAGGAACCTTTCCTGGCTTTCGGCTGGGGTCGCAGCGGCCTTCCTTGTGTCTTGATACGGATTGACCGCGGCGTGGTACACAAAAGGATTGTTTAAGTCGAGGATATACCATATTTAGTAAGCCAGGACGGGTCTGAAGTGGTCCAAGTCTGACCTTGACAAAAGCTTGAGAAGTTTACACGGCACGCCACTGTCTCGCGAATCCGTGGCTACGCCTTAGCCCGAGCCACAACGTCGTGACCGCAGCGAAGAAAACGGTAGTAGTTGGTCATGGTTGGTCATCGCTGGTGGTGTGAGTGCTGATGGTGGTAGGCACTGGAAGGTAAGAGGCGATAGTAAAGAGAGCGGTGTTGTCTGTGAATGTGGTGATGCGTGTGTATCGCTGGTTGGTTTGTGTGTAGGGCGTTTGTGAAATTGTAAGCGCGTTTGTCTGTTTGGAGTGGCCTCGTGGTCTAGTGGTATGATTCTCGCTTCGGGTGCGAGAGGTCCCGGGTTCGATTCCCGGTGAGGCCCCGTCTTTGCTCAGCTATCTAGCCTCCGCGACAGCTTTTTGCACCTCCCTTTTCCGCGTTGAGGAACCTTTCCTGGCTTTCGGCTGGGGTTGCAGCGGCCTTCCTTGTGTCTTGATACGGATTGACCGCGGCGTGGTACACAAAAGGATTGTTTAATGTCGAGGATATACCCATATTTAGTAAGGCCAGGACGGGTCTGAAGTGGTCCAAGTCTGACCTTTGACAAAAGCCTGAGAAGTTTACCACGGCACGCCACTGTCTCGCGAATCCGTGGCTACGCCTTAGGCCTGAGCCACAACGTCGTGACCGCAGCGAAGAAAACGGTAGTAGTTGGTCATGGGTTGGTCATCGCTGGTGGTGTGAGTGCTGATGGTGGTAGGCACTGGAAGGTAAGAGGCGATAGTAAAGAGAGCGGTGTTGTCTGTGAATGTGGTGATGCGTGTGTATCGCTGGTTGGTTTGTGTGTAGGGCGTTTGTGAAATTGTAAGCGCGTTTGTCTGTTTGGAGTGGCCTCGTGGTCTAGTGGTATGATTCTCGCTTCGGGTGCGAGAGGTCCCGGGTTCGATTCCCGGTGAGGCCCCGTCTTTGCTCAGCTATCTAGCCTCCGCGACAGCTTTTTGCACCTCCCTTTTCCGCGTTGAGGAACCTTTCCTGGCTTTCGGCTGGGGTCGCAGCGGCCTTCCTTGTGTCTTGATACGGATTGACCGCGGCGTGGTACACAAAAGGATTGTTTATGTCGAGGATATGCCATATTTAGTAAGCCAGGACGGGTCTGAAGTGGTCCAAGTCTGACCTTGACAAAAGCTTGAGAAGTTTACACGGCACGCCACTGTCTCGCGAATCCGTGGCTACGCCTTAGCCTGAGCCACAACGTCGTGACCGCAGCGAAGAAAACGGTAGTAGTTGGTCATGGTTGGTCATCGCTGGTGGTGTGAGTGCTGATGGTGGTAGGCACTGGAAGGTAAGAGGCGATAGTAAAGAGAGCGGTGTTGTCTGTGAATGTGGTGATGCGTGTGTATCGCTGGTTGGTTTGTGTGTAGGGCGTTTGTGAAATTGTAAGCGCGTTTGTCTGTTTGGAGTGGCCTCGTGGTCTAGTGGTATGATTCTCGCTTCGGGTGCGAGAGGTCCCGGGTTCTATTCCCGGTGAGGCCCCGTCTTTGCTCAGCTATCTAGCCTCCGCGACAGCTTTTTGCACCTCCCTTTTCCGCACTGAGGAACCTTTCCTGGCTTTCGGCTGGGGTCGCAGCGGCCTTCCTTGTGTCTTGATACGGATTGACCGCGGCGTGGTACACAAAAGGATTGTTTAAGTCGAGGATATACCATATTTGGTAAGCCAGGACGGGTCTGAAGTGGTCCAAGTCTGACCTTGACAAAAGACTTGAGAAGTTTACACGGCACGCCACTGTCTCGCGAATCCGTGGCTACGCCTTAGCCCGAGCCACAACGTCGTGACCGCAGCGAAGAAAACGGTAGTAGTTGGTCATGGTTGGTCATCGCTGGTGGTGTGAGTGCTGATGGTGGTAGGCACTGGAAGGTAAGAGGCGATAGTAAAGAGAGCGGTGTTGTCTGTGAATGTGGTGATGCGTGTGTATCGCTGGTTGGTTTGTGTGTAGGGCGTTTGTGAAATTGTAAGCGCGTTTGTCTGTTTGGAGTGGCCTCGTGGTCTCGTGGTATGATTCCTCGCTTCGCGGTGCGAGAGGTTCCGGGTTCGATTCCACGTGAGGCCCGTTCTTTGCTCAGCTTATCTAGCCTCCTGCGACAGCTTTTGCATCTCTCCTTTTCCGCGTTGAAGAAACCTTTTCTGGGCTTTCGGACTGGGGTCGCAGCGGCCTTCCTTGTGTCTTGATACGGATTTGACCGCCGGCGTGGTACACAAAAGGATTGTTTAAGTCGAGGATATACCATATTTAGTAAGCCAGGACTGGTCTGAAGTGGTCCAAGTCTGACCTTGACAAAAGCTTGAGAAGTTTACACGGCACGCCACTGTCTCGCGAATCCGTGGCTACGCCTTAGCCCGAGCCACAACGTCGTGACCGCAGCGAAGGAAACGGTAGTAGTTGGTCATGGTTGGTCATCGCTGGTGGTGTGAGTGCTGATGGTGGTAGGCACTGGAAGGTAAGAGGCGATAGTAAAGAGAGCGGTGTTGTCTGTGAATGTGGTGATGCGTGTGTATCGCTGGTTGGTTTGTGTGTAGGGCGTTTGTGAAATTGTAAGCGCGTTTGTCTGTTTGGAGAAGGCCTCGTGGTCTAGTGGTATGATTCTCGCTTCGGGTGCGAGAGATCCCGGGTTCGATTCCCGGTGAGGCCCCGTCTTTGCTCAGCTATCTAGCCTCCGCGACAGCTTTTTGCACCTCCCTTTTCCGCGTTGAGGAACCTTTCCTGGCTTTCGGCTGGGGTCGCAGCGGCCTTCCTTGTGTCTTGATAGGAATTGACCGCGGCGTGGTACACAAAAGGATTGTTTAAGTCGAGGATATACCATATTTAGTAAGCCAGGACGGGTCTGAAGTGGTCCAAGTCTGACCTTGACAAAAGCTTGAGAAGTTTACACGGCACGCCACTGTCTCGCGAATCCGTGGCTACGCCTTAGCCCGAGCCACAACGTCGTGACCGCAGCGAAGAAAACGGTAGTAGTTGGTCATGGTTGGTCATCGCTGGTGGTGTGAGTGCTGATGGTGGTAGGCACTGGAAGGTAAGAGGCGATAGTAAAGAGAGCGGTGTTGTCTGTGAATGTGGTGATGCGTGTGTATCGCTGGTTGGTTTGTGTGTAGGGCGTTTGTGAAATTGTAAGCGCGTTTGTCTGTTTGGAGTGGCCTCGTGGTCTAGTGGTATGATTCTCGCTTCGGGTGCGAGAGGTCCCGGGTTCAATTCCCGGTGAGGCCCCGTCTTTGCTCAGCTATCTAGTCTCCGCGACAGCTTTTTGCACCTCCCTTTTCCGCGTTGAGGAACCTTTCCTGGCTTTCGGCTGGGGTCGCAGCGGCCTTCCTTGTGTCTTGATACGGATTGACCGCGGCGTGGTACACAAAAGGATTGTTTAAGTCGAGGATATACCATATTTAGTAAGCCAGGACGGGTCTGAAGTGGTCCAAGTCTGACCTTGACAAAAGCTTGAGAAGTTTACACGGCACGCCACTGTCTCGCGAATCCGTGGCTACGCCTTAGCCCGAGCCACAACGTCGTGACCGCAGCGAAGAAGACGGTAGTAGTTTGTCATGGTTGGTCATCGCTGGTGGTGTGGGTGCTGATGGTGGTAGGCACTGGAAGTAAGAAAGCGATGAGTAAAGAGAGCGGTTGGTCTGTGAAATGTGGTGAATGGCGTGTGTAATCGCTGGTTGGTTGGTGTGTAGAGGACATTTGTGAAAATTGTAAGCGCGTTGGTCTGTTAGGAGTGGCCCTGCGTGATTCTAGTAGTAAGAATTTCTCGCTTCGGGTGCGAGAGGTCCCGGGTTCGATTCCCCGGTGAGGCCCCGTCTTGCTCAGCTATCTAGCCTCCGCGACAGCTTTTGCACCTCCCTTTTCCGCGTTAAAGGAACCTTTCCTGGCTTTCGGCTGGGGTCGCAGCGGCCTTCCTTGTGTCTTGATACGGATTGACCGCGGCATGGTACACAAAAGGATTGTTTACGTCGAGGATATACCATATTTAGTAAGCCAGAACGGGTCTGAAGTGGTCCAAGTCTGACCTTGACAAGCGCTTGAGAAGTTTACACGGCACGCCACTGTCTCGCGAATCCGTGGCTACGCCTTAGCCTGAGCCACAACGTCGTGACCGCAGCGAAGAAGACGGTAGTAGTTGGTCATGGTTGGTCATCGCTGGTGGTGTGAGTGCTGATGGTGGTAGGCACTGGAAGGTAAGAGGCGATAGTAAAGAGAGCGGTGTTGTCTGTGAATGTGGTGATGCGTGTGTATCGCTGGTTGGTTTGTGTGTAGGGCGTTTGTGAAATTGTAAGCGCGTTTGTCTGTTTGGAGTGGCCTCGTGGTCTAGTGGTATGATTCTCGCTTCGGGTGCGAGAGGTCCCGGGTTCGATTCCCGGTGAGGCCCCGTCTTTGCTCAGCTATCTAGCCTCCGCGACAGCTTTTTGCACCTCCCTTTTCCGCGTTAAGGAACCTTTCCTGGCTTTCGGCTGGGGTCGCAGCGGCCTTCCTTGTGTCTTGATACGGATTGACCGCGGCGTGGTACACAAAAGGATTGTTTAAGTCGAGGATATACCATATTTAGTAAGCCAGGACGGGTCTGAAGTGGTCCAAGTCTGACCTTGACAAAAGCTTGAGAAGTTTACACGGCACGCCACTGTCTCGCGAATCCGTGGCTACGCCTTAGCCCGAGCCACAACGTCGTGACCGCAGCGAAGAAAACGGTAGTAGTTGGTCATGGTTGGTCATCGCTGGTGGTGTGAGTGCTGATGGTGGTAGGCACTGGAAGGTAAGAGGCGATAGTAAAGAGAGCGGTGTTGTCTGTGAATGTGGTGATGCGTGTGTATCGCTGGTTGGTTTGTGTGTAGGGCGTTCGTGAAATTGTAAGCGCGTTTGTCTGTTTGGAGTGGCCTCGTGGTCTAGTGGTATGATTCTCGCTTCGGGTGCGAGAGGTCCCGGGTTCGATTCCCGGTGAGGCCCCGTCTTTGCTCAGCTATCTAGCCTCCGCGACAGCTTTTTGCACCTCCCTTTTCCGCGTTAAGGACCCTTTCCTGGCTTTCGGCTGGGGTCGCAGCGGCCTTCCTTGTGTCTTTGATACGGATTGACCGCGGCGTGGTACAACAAAAGGAATGTTTAAGTCGAGGATAATACCATATTTAGTAGGCTAGGACGGGTCTGAAGTGGTCCAAGTCTGACCTTGACCAAAGGCTTGAGAAGTTTACACGGCACGGCCGCTGTATCGTGAATCTCGTGGCTTATGTCTTTACTCGTGAGCCATAAACGTCTGATCTCCAGCGAAGAAAACCGATAGTAAGTTGGTCATTGTTTGTCATCGCTGGTCATCGGGTGTGCTGATGGTGGTAGACACTGGGAAGGTAAGAGGCGATAGTAAAGAGAGCGGTGTTGTCTGTGAATGTGGTGATGCGTGTGTATCGCTGGTTGGTTTGTGTGTAGGGCGCTTGTGAAATTGTAAGCGCGTTTGTCTGTTTGGAGTGGCCTCGTGGTCTAGTGGTATGATTCTCGCTTCGGGTGCGAGAGGTCCCGGGTTCGATTCCCGGTGAGGCCCCGTCTTTGCTCAGCTATCTAGCCTCCGCGACAGCTTTTTGCACCTCCCTTTTCCGCGTTGAGGAACCTTTCCTGGCTTTCGGCTGGGGTCGCAGCGGCCTTCCTTGTGTCTTGATACGGATTGACCGCGGCGTGGTACACAAAAGGATTGTTTAAGTCGAGGATATACCATATTTAGTAAGCCAGGACGGGTCTGAAGTGGTCCAAGTCTGACCTTGACAAAAGCTTGAGAAGGTTACACGGCACGCCACTGTCTCGCGAATCCGTGGCTACGCCTTAGCCTGAGCCACAACGTCGTGACCGCAGCGAAGAAAACGGTAGTAGTTGGTCATGGTTGGTCATCGCTGGTGGTGTGAGTGCTGATGGTGGTAGGCACTGGAAGGTAAGAGGCGATAGTAAAGAGAGCGGTGTTGTCTGTGAATGTGGTGATGCGTGTGTATCGCTGGTTGGTTTGTGTGTAGGGCGTTTGTGAAATTGTAAGCGCGTTTGTCTGTTTGGAGTGGCCTCGTGGTCAAGTGGTATGCTCTTAGTTTCGGGTGCGAGAGGTCCCGGGTTCGATTCCCGGTGAGGCCCCGTCTTTGCTCAGCTATCTAGCCTCCGCGACAGCTTTTTGCACCTCCCTTTTCCGCGTTGAGGAACCTTTCCTGGCTTTCGGCTGGGGTCGCAGCGGCCTTCCTTGTGTCTTGATACGGATTGACCGCGGCGTGGTACACAAAAGGATTGTTTAAGTCGAGGATATACCATATTTAGTAAGCCAGGACGGGTCTGAAGTGGTCCAAGTCTGACCTTGACAAAAGCTTGAGAAGTTTACACGGCACGCCACTGTCTCGCGAATCCGTGGCTACGCCTTAGCCCGAGCCACAACGTCGTGACCGCAGCGAAGAAAACGGTAGTAGTTGGTCATGGTTGGTCATCGCTGGTGGTGTGAGTGCTGATGGTGGTAGGCACTGGAAGGTAAGAGGCGATAGTAAAGAGAGCGGTGTTGTCTGTGAATGTGGTGATGCGTGTGTATCGCTGGTTGGTTTGTGTGTAGGGCGTTTGTGAAATTGTAAGCGCGTTTGTCTGTTTGGAGTGGCCTCGTGGTCTAGTGGTATGATTCTCGCTTCGGGTGCGAGAGGTCCCGGGTTCGATTCCCGGTGAGGCCCCGTCTTTGCTCAGCTATCTAGCCTCTGCGACAGCTTTTTGCACCTCCCTTTTCCGCGTTGAGGGACCTTTCCTGGCTTTCGGCTGGGGTCGCAGCGGCCTTCCTTGTGTCTTGATACGGATTGACCGCGGCGTGGTACACAAAAGGATTGTTTAAGTCGAGGACAGACCATATTTAGTAAGCCAGGACGGGTCTGAAGTGGTCCAAGTCTGACCTTGACAAAAGCTTGAGAAGTTTACACGGCACGCCACTGTCTCGCGAATCCGTGGCTACGCCTTAGCCCGAGCCACAACGTCGTGACCGCAGCGAAGAAAACGGTAGTAGTTGGTCATGGTTGGTCATCGCTGGTGGTGTGAGTGCTGATGGTGGTAGGCACTGGAAGGTAAGAGGCGATAGTAAAGAGAGCGGTGTTGTCTGTGAATGTGGTGATGCGTGTGTATCGCTGGTTGGTTTGTGTGTAGGGCGTTTGTGAAATTGTAAGCGCGTTTGTCTGTTTGGAGTGGCCTCGTGGTCTAGTGGTATGATTCTCGCTTCGGGTGCGAGAGGTCCCGGGTTCGATTCCCGGTGAGGCCCCGTCTTTGCTCAGCTATCTAGCCTTCCGCGACAGCCTCTTTTGGAATCTTTGCTTTTTCTTTTTCGGGGTGAGAGAAACTTCCTGGCTTCGCTGGGGTCGCAGCGGCCTTCCTTGTGTCTTGATACGATGACCGCGGCGTGGTACACAAAAGGATTGTTTAAGTCGAGGATATACCATATTTAGTAAGCCAGGACGGGTCTGAAGTGGTCCAAGTCTGACCTTGACAAAAGCTTGAGAAGTTTACACGGCACGCCACTGTCTCGAGAATCCGTGGCGACGCCTTAGCCTGAGCCACAACGTCGTGACCGCAGCGAAGAAAACGGTAGTAGTTGGTCATGGTTGGTCATCGCTGGTGGTGTGAGTGCTGATGGTGGTAGGCACTGGAAGGTAAGAGGCGATAGCAAAGAGAGCGGTGTTGTCTGTGAATGTGGTGATGCGTGTGTATCGCTGGTTGGTTTGTGTGTAGGGCGTTTGTGAAATTGTAAGCGCGTTTGTTTGTTTGGAGTGGCCTCGTGGTCTAGTGGTATGATTCTCGCTTCGGGTGCGAGAGGTCCCGGGTTCGATTCCCGGTGAGGCCCCGTCTTTGCTCAGCTATCTAGCCTCCGCGACAGCTTTTTGCACCTCCCTTTTCCGCGTTGAGGAACCTTTCCTGGCTTTCGGCTGGGGTCGCAGCGGCCTTCCTTGTGTCTTGATACGGATTGACCGCGGCGTGGTACACAAAAGGATTGTTTAAGTCGAGGATATACCATATTTAGTAAGCCAGGACGGGTCTGAAGTGGTCCAAGTCTGACCTTGACAAAAGCTTGAGAAGTTTACACGGCACGCCACTGTCTCGCGAATCCGTGGCTACGCCTTAGCCCGAGCCACAACGTCGTGACCGCAGCGAAGAAAACGGTAGTAGTTGGTCATGGTTGGTCATCGCTGGTGGTGTGAGTGCTGATGGTGGTAGGCACTGGAAGGTAAGAGGCGATAGTATTGAGAGCGGTGTTGTCTGTGAATGTGGTGATGCGTGTGTATCGCTGGTTGGTTTGTGTGTAGGGCGTTTGTGAAATTGTAAGCGCGTTTGTCTGTTTGGAGTGGCCTCGTGGTCTAGTGGTATGATTCTCGCTTCGGGTGCGAGAGGTCCCGGGCTCGATTCCCGGTGAGGCCCCGTCTTTGCTCAGCTATCTAGCCTCCGCGACAGCTTTTTGCACCTCCCTTTTCCGCACTGAGGAACCTTTCCTGGCTTTCGGCTGGGGTCGCAGCGGCCTTCCTTGTGTCTTGATACGGATTGACCGCGGCGTGGTACACAAAAGGATTGTTTAAGTCGAGGATATACCATATTTAGTAAGCCAGGACGGGTCTGAAGTGGTCCAAATCTGACCTTGACAAAAGCTTGAGAAGTTTACACGGCACGCCACTGTCTCGCGAATTCCGTGGCTACGTCCTTAGCACGAGCCCCTACGTCGTGACCGCAGCGAAGAAAACGGTAGTAGTTGGTCATGGTTGGTCATCGCTGGTGGTGTGAGTGCTGATGGTGGTAGGCACTGGAAGGTAAGAGGCGATAGTAAAGAGAGCGGTGTTGTCTGTGAATGTGGTGATGCGTGTGTATCGCTGGTTGGTTTGTGTGTAGGGCGTTTGTGAAATAGTAAGCGCGTTTGTCTGTTTGGAGTGGCCTCGTGGTCTAGTGGTATGATTCTCGCTTCGGGTGCGAGAGGTCCCGGGTTCGATTCCCGGTGAGGCCCCGTCTTTGCTCAGCTATCTAGCCTCCGCGACAGCTTTTTGCACCTCCCTTTTCCGCGTTGAGGAACCTTTCCTGGCTTTCGGCTGGGGTCGCAGCGGCCTTCCTTGTGTCTTGATACGGATTGACCGCGGCGTGGTACACAAAAGGATTGTTTAAGTCGAGGATATACCATATTTAGTAAGCCAGGACGGGTCTGAAGTGGTCCAAGTCTGACCTTGACAAAAGCTTGAGAAGTTTACACGGCACGCCACTGTCTCGCGAATCCGTGGCTACGCCTTAGCCCGAGCCACAACGTCGTGACCGCAGCGAAGAAAACGGTAGTAGTTGGTCATGGTTGGTCATCGCTGGTGGTGTGAGTGCTGATGGTGGTAGGCACTGGAAGGTAAGAGGCGATAGTAAAGAGAGCGGTGTTGTCTGTGAATGTGGTGATGCGTGTGTATCGCTGGTTGGTTTGTGAGTAGGGCGTTTGTGAAGTTGTAAGCGCGTTTGTCTGTTTGGAGTGGCCTCGTGGTCTAGTGGTATGATTCTCGCTTCGGGTGCGAGAGGTCCCGGGTTCGATTCCAGGTGAGGCCCCGTCTTTGCTCAGCTATCTAGCCTCCGCGACAGCTTTTTGCACCTCCCTTTTCCGCACTGAGGAACCTTTCCTGGCTTTCGGCTGGGGTCACAGCGGCGCTCTTTGTGTCCTGATACGGACTGACCGCGGCATGGTACACAAAGAATTGTTTAAGTCGAGGACAGACCATATTTAGTAAGCCAGGACGGGTCTGAAGTGGTCCAAGTCTGACCTTGACAAAAGCTTGAGAAGTTTACACGGCACGCCACTGTCTCGCGAATCCGTGGCTACGCCTTAGCCCGAGCCACAACGTCGTGACCGCAGCGAAGAAAACGGTAGTAGTTGGTCATGGTTGGTCATCGCTGGTGGTGTGAGTGCTGATGGTGGTAGGCACTGGAAGGTAAGAGGCGATAGTAAAGAGAGCGGTGTTGTCTGTGAATGTGGTGATGCGTGTGTATCGCTGGTTGGTTTGTGTGTAGGGCGTTTGTGAAATTGTAAGCGCGTTTGTCTGTTTGGAGTGGCCTCGTGGTCTAGTGGTATGATTCTCGCTTCGGGTGCGAGAGGTCCCGGGTTCGATTCCCGGTGAGGCCCCGTCTTTGCTCAGCTATCTAGCCTCCGCGACAGCTTTTTGCACCTCCCTTTTCCGCGTTAAGGAACCTTTCCTGGCTTTCGGCTGGGGTCGCAGCGGCCTTCCTTGTGTCTTGATACGGATTGACCGCGGCGTGGTACACAAAAGGATTGTTTAAGTCGAGGATATACCATATTTAGTAAGCCAGGACGGGTCTGAAGTGGTCCAAGTCTGACCTTGACAAAAGCTTGAGAAGTTTACACGGCACGCCACTGTCTCGCGAATCCGTGGCTACGCCTTAGCCCGAGCCACAACGTCGTGACCGCAGCGAAGAAAACGGTAGTAGTTGGTCATGGTTGGTCATCGCTGGTGGTGTGAGTGCTGATGGTGGTAGGCACTGGAAGGTAAGAGGCGATAGTAAAGAGAGCGGTGTTGTCTGTGAATGTGGTGATGCGTGTGTATCGCTGGTTGGTTTGTGTGTAGGGCGTTTGTGAAATTGTAAGCGCGTTTGTCTGTTTGGAGTGGCCTCGTGGTCTAGTGGTATGATTCTCGCTTCGGGTGCGAGAGGTCCCGGGTTCGATTCCCGGTGAGGCCCCGTCTTTGCTCAGTCCGCGACAGCTTTTTGCACCTCCCTTTTCCGCGTTAAGGAACCTTTCCTGGCTTTCGGCTGGGGTCGCAGCGGCCTTCCTTGTGTCTTGATACGGATTGACCGCGGCGTGGTACACAAAAGGATTGTTTAAGTCGAGGATATACCATATTTAGTAGGCCAGGACGGGTCTGAAGTGGTCCAAGTCTGACCTTGACAAAAGCTTGAGAAGTTTACACGGCACGCCACTGTCTCGCGAATCCGTGGCTACGCCTTAGCCCGAGCCACAACGTCGTGACCGCAGCGAAGAAAACGGTAGTAGTTGGTCATGGTTGGTCATCGCTGGTGGTGTGAGTGCTGATGGTGGTAGGCACTGGAAGGTAAGAGGCGATAGTAAAGAGAGCGGTGTTGTCTGTGAATGTGGT